AGTGATGGGAAATTGAGGGATTAATAGACTTGTCAACAGTCACAAAACAAGTTTACAACAAAACTGAAGCTTACTCTTTTTTTTTTTTTTAAGATTTTTATTTATTTATCAGAGAGAGAGAGGCAGAGGCAGGCAGAGGGAGAAACAGGCTGCCTGCTCAGCAAGGAGCCCGATGCGGGACCCGATCCAAGGACCCTGAGATCATGACCCGAGCCGAAGGCAGATGCTTAACCCACTGAGCCACCCAGGCATCCCTGAAGCTTACTCTTGATCTCAAGTTTTCTCCAATTAGGCAATGTAGATTTATTTAACTTTATCCCAACTGGTCACAAATAATGTGTATGTGTATATATACATACACACATATATATGTAATATAATTACTAATTATATATATACATACATACATATGTATATGTGTATATATGTGTCATATATATATGTGACTATGAAACAATTTACCATCTGGTATGATATATAATTACTAATTATATATATATATGTAATATAATTACTAATAGATTTTCTATTGAAGTTGCCCTACATTGCAGTATTAAGCTAGATTTCAGAACCACATAATGTTTTAGATTCTAAATTAAGTGCCATAATAGAAGAAAACAGGCTTTAATAGGACATTATATTTATTACTAGTTCAAAATGCACCATTTTCTTCCATCAGATTGCTATATTTTGCCTGAACTTCAAAGATCTTTAGGACTCAAAGGAATCTTCACTATTAAAAAAGACACTGTTGTTTCATAGTGTATCAAACTTTAGAAGACTATCTAATAGAACTTTTCTTAAATGTGAAAATTTTACACACTTCATTCGCTCTCAAGTGATGAAAAGATTATGCATCTCAATCAGATGTTTTCTTTCAAAAAAGTATTTATGGAATTTCACTAGGCTTAGTCTTCTTTCATTACAGTTTTTTGTTGTTTTGTTTTGTTTTTGTTTTTTACTTTTCAGATAATATTACACAATGGCCTCAACTGCAAGAGGTTACTAGTAAGATATGGTTCCAGAAATGGAATCCCAGGAAAATCATAGTAATAAATCAAGTGCTACTTGTTTAGACAGCTGATATTTATTTCTAGCAAATGCTTTTTGGAATCTGAAAACTAGTCCTCCATTTTGTATTTTTCTAACAATTCGGTGATAAAAATATAGAAAGTAAACATAAGCTATTTCTAAATCCCAGAAAAAGTTGTTGGCTAGGATACAGGCTGTTCAATTCTTAATGCACACAGGGAGGGCTCAATAAATGTCACTAACTGATAGTATTAATGCTAAAGGACGACTTCTCTTAGGTAGGTAGTTGCTTAAGTTCTCCTGAAAATATGGTTTTCTTTTCTCTACCCCAGAGTACTTAGATAATGTACTATTACTATCTTAAATGTATTATGTACTTGCTGAGAAAATAAAAAAGGTTTTCTTGAGTATCTACAGTTCACATTCCAGGATCTTGTGACTATGAAACAATTTACCATCTGGTACTGATATGGTTAGATAATAACCTAGTAGAATTTGGAGTATGATACTCTGAAAAGATGAAATCTTGCTATAGTAGTTTTGGGTTTGGTTTGGTTTGGTTTTGGTTTTCTTGGTCATCAGTGGAAACCATCCTTAGTTTCTAAGTTGCTGCAATTGTTTTTTCTTTCCCCCTGCATTGTTCTTCCTAAACATACCTCCCATACACGGCTTTAAAGTAAGTCTTTGAGGGAAGTACCAGATGTAGGACAGTCAAGTTGGGTGCTCTGGCGCAGTAATCAAGGATTCCCACAGTTTCCACATGTGGTTTTTGGGTGTAAGCATGGAGCCAGGATACTTGCATTAAGACCCTTGGTCTTGAGGTTTGGGACTCCAGAGATCTCTCCAGTTCCAGTGAGTTAGGCTACCATGTTACTTATTGTCAACTTTCCACACACACCCAGAGCATATATACTGACTGGTACATCTTGTTTCCTATCATTTTAATTAGTTATACGGCGTCTTTTAATCCTTTGTGGGCCAACCATGAATTACACAGTTATGTAGTCTGATGACAGTTCTGATTTTTTTCCTCTGTAAAATGGTTCCAAACCTATTTGTAACAACCAGAATTTTTATCATTTCTTCATAGCAATTTTATGGAATAAATTCTTTACATTTCTAAGGAGCACATGTGTAAGAGAAGCTAGGGCCTTTAAGACTTTTGGAAAACTTACCTTCAAGAGAACTATTTTATTCACACAGAAATCCTTAAAAATATAAATAAAACATTTTAACTTTATACATCTTATTTTAGGCTAAGATGTCTTTTAACATCTTTAACCCCATTCTTAGCAAAAATATAGCCCACTTACTGATCTCTTCTAAATTATCTTTATCATTACTTTCATTTCATAATTAATCCTTAATGTGTTCTTTAAGGAGAAATCATCTTACAGATTACTTTAGATTTTTTCTTTGTGATTTAAGATCATCATAACAAGTAATCAAGAAGTTTATGTAATAAGATAATGTAATGAGGCAAGCAGGCATCTTATACTTATTTTTCCAAAATTGATCACCATTTTTAACAATATGGTAAATCAAAGTTAAATTAAGCTTTCGTAAGTTTATATTGGATTTAACCAGTTGATCTAACTTATTAAGGGAAAGTATCTCTGACAATTACCAAAATTACAGATTTAGAAATGAAACATCCCTTTAGCTATCTCTGCCACAATAGCAGCATAACGTTACACTTTGTTCCTCTACTCTCTCCCATCTTCTTAAGAAACAGGGATGTTATTATGTGGTCTTATTTCACATCCTGACCTCGTTTACTTGGGTTTGGAGGACATGGTTTCTACCAAGGTTAAAAGACATGTGTCTGTGTGTTATTTACAACTAAGGACCTAAAAATTTTCTGTAAACTGTCATTATCAAAACATCCTTTGTCATAAAAAGTATTTCTACGCTTCAAAGATTAGAGAATTGAGTATAATGATTAACTGATTTATGTAAGTCATAATGATATGACTGCTAAAGCTGTGATATGAAATCTTGATTTCCCCTCAAGATTTCTTGAATTTTACTTACATGATGTATTAGTGTGTCAAAGTTCAAGAGCCACCTTCCCCATTTTTTTTTTAACTGTTTAAGAGAATGGCCTTACCACTTTCTTTTGCCAGAAAGTAGCGAAAAGATGATAAAATCTCCAGTACTTTATAGCTGCTTTCTGTACTGGGAGAGGAAAGGGTGCTTTCTGACTTGTTCTGGTTGTTCATGGCCCAATTCAAACCACGTAACACTCTGGCTCCAACTAGGAGTTTTAGAATAAACAAAAGAAAGAACTATAACTATTTAACGCAGTAGGGTCTACATTTATGGAGCCCATAAGCTGATTTCGTGCTGAAAGTAAAAACAGTCTCAAGAGGTTAAATGAACTCTTCGATGCTGAAATCACAGCAAATCAGGAAAATTGGGGATATGTTGGTAACCTCTAATCTTTTTTTAAACTGACCTCACCCTGGGCAAGTAACCATCTCCTGATGCCATTGTTGGAGACAGAATTTCTGGCTGAAAGATCAGTTTTCTGACTCAATCTGGCTTGCTATTCTTGGTTAATCATCCCCATTTCTCTCAATATTTCACTCCTCTGACTACGGTGGTCAACATTTATTTTCAGAAGACTTTTTAAGTGATTCGTTTCCTCCACTGGTCTTCCTCTTTATCCTAAGTCTCCCTAACCCCCATTTCCATCGCCCTTGTTTCTCTAAGATTTTGCTAAACATTAGACACAGCACATGACCTCCATCCAGTCTTCCAGCGTCTCGGAACAAAACCGGTTGGCGCGGTTGTAAGCTCCTCTAGGCTTGGAATTTAAGAGTCTTCAGCTCTTCAACTCTTAAAGACCTACAGCGTAAATTTTAATTTAAAAAATTTTAAATAAAAAACACCGCCCCCCTCTTTTAACCTTTAGTCCCGCCCACCGCCTCCCCCAGTCAAGCCTCCACGCGAAACTGCAGGAAACCGGAGGGGGCGGGGCAGTGACGTCATGACGCCGGTGCGTCACGGAACGGCGGCGGCTGCGGCGCTGGCGGTGGCTGCGGCAGCGGCGGCATTTTAGTCGACAGCGGCGGCGGCAGCGGGGCCGCTGCTCCTCCCAGCATCCCTGGCGCGGCCATTTCAGCCCCATCTTGGCCGAGGGGAGGGAGCTGCAGCCGCCGCTTCAGCAGTTTGAATTTCAGTTTCTCCAGGGTCTGCGAACCGGGCGCACCGAGGAGGAGCCGAAAAAGCTACCACCGCTACCTCACACAGCCGGAGCGCCTCCGCTCGCCGGCCAGCCAGGCGGCTGCCGCCACCACCACCGCCGCCGCCGCCGCCCCTCACTCTTCTCAGGAGCCGCGAGGGGAGGCCGAGACCGCCGCCGCCGCCCGCGGGGTGGCTCCCCCTGTAAGGGGAGGACCGAGCCGGCTTTCCCCTCCCCCGGAGCGGGTTTCCGCCAGAGACAGTCGACATGTCCCTGGGGCTGAGCTCCGGCTAAAGCCGGGGAGGGGGCCGCCCGCCCGCGCCGAAGCTCCGCCGCCCGCCCGCGGGACCCTCAGCCAGCCCCAGCCCGCGGCTCCTGGCTCAATCAGGAATCCCCGGCGCCAGACTCGCCACTCCTTCCCCTTCTTCCCTCAGCGTCCGAGAGACCAGAGCTGACGCCGGCACTGGCCTGAGAAGCCCGAGCGGGGCAGCACCGCCCCTCACGCCGCCACCGCCGCCGCCTCCTCCTCCCCTTCGCCCTCCCACTCCCACCCCCAGCCAAGGCCTGCTGACCGCGCCGAGCGCCGAGCTGGACTGACCACGGCGGCCCCGGAGACGGGAGGAGGAAGCAGGCGGCCCGCCCCTGGGATCGCGCTCGCGCCCGCGCCGCCGCTGAGGGGATTGAATTGAGGCGCGGCGGCTGCGGGAGGCGAAAAGGAAGGAGGAGCCGCCGCGCGAGTGCGACGGGGGCAGAGCCGTAGAGATCGACTCAGAAGGAAACGGGGAGGAGGATGTCTCACAGAGCGGCCAGCGTCCGGATCAGCCAGTGACTCTTAACAGCGGCGGGCCTCAGACCCCAGCGCGGACTCGGACTTTGTCTTTGGGAGCCCCTGCTCTGCCCTTCCTGGTTTCCGGCAAGATCGCAGAGGAGCCGGCGTGCCTCTCTGCCCTCCAGCCTTCCTCACCATGTCCAAGATGCCGGCCAAGAAGAAGAGCTGCTTCCAGATCACTAGTGTCACCACGGCCCAGGTGGCCACTAGCATCACCGAGGACACTGAGAGCCTGGACGACCCGGACGAGTCACGTACAGAGGACGTCTCCTCCGAGATATTCGACGTTTCTCGGGCCACGGATTATGGCCCTGAGGAGGTCTGCGAGCGCAGCTCCTCCGAAGAGACGCTCAACAATGTTGGGGATGCAGAGACTCCGGGGACCGTCTCCCCAAACCTCCTCCTGGACGGGCAGCTGGCGGCCGCGGCGGCTGCTCCCGCCAACGGAGGAGGAGCCCTTTCGGCCCGGAGCGTGGCTGGGGCGCTGGCCAGTACCCCGGCGGCGGCCACCACCTCGGCCCCCTCTTCGGGGGCACCCGGCGCCCCCCCGGTCACGGGCTCGTCTGCCGGGCCAGGGACCGCAGCCCCACCACAGCCCCCCACGACTTGTAGTTCCCGTTTTCGTGTGATCAAGCTGGACCACGGGAGCGGGGAGCCCTACCGCCGCGGCCGATGGACGTGTATGGAATACTATGAGCGGGATTCAGATAGCAGCGTCCTGACCAGGTCCGGGGATTGCATTAGGCACAGCAATACTTTTGACCAGACTGCGGAGCGGGACAGTGGCCTGGGCGCCACCGGAGGGTCGGTGGTGGTGGTGGTGGCCTCCATGCAGGGGGCGCACGGGCCCGACTCGGGAACTGACAGTTCCTTGACTGCTGTGTCACAGCTACCCCCGTCGGAGAAAATGAGCCAGCCCGCCCCGGCCCAGCCGCAGAGTTTTGGCGTTGGGCAGCCACAGCCACCGCCGCCCGTAGGTGGGGCTGTGGTTCAAAGCGCGGCTCCAGTGCCGCCGTTCCCGGGAGCCGCGGCCGGGCCTCAGCAAATGATGGCAGCCCCGCAGCCAAGCCAGCCCCAGGGAACCGGCCCCGGCGTCCTCCCGCAGGGGCCCAATGGACAGGGGCTGCCGCTGACGAATGTAACCCTGACGCAGCCCGGCGTGCCCCTGCCGCAGCAGCCGGGCCCCGCCGTCGGCGCTCCTACGACGCAGCCGCCCCAGCAGTTCGCGTACCCTCAGCTACCGCCTGGGCATTTGCTGCCAGTCCAGCCCGCGGGTCAGGGTGAGTACCTACAGCAGCACGTGGCCGGCCTGCAGCCGCCAAGCCCCGCGCAGCCCTCGTCCGCCGGAGCGAGCCTCGCCACCGCTGCCAGCCTTCCAGTGGGCACCGGCCCGAATGCCGCCTCGGTGGGTGCGCAGATAATGGGCGTGTCTTCCTTGCCCAGTGAAGCTGTGGCCCCGGGGCCGGGACCCGCGCCAGGCGGGCAGGCCGCGCCTGGTCAGCCGGCCGGAGTGCCCTTGGCTGCTGTGGGATGCGCCGTGCCGCCGGGCCTGGTCCCCCCTGGGACCGGGCAGCTCCAGTCCGTGCCTCCACCGCAGATGGGTGGCAGTGGTGTGTCGTCAGCCGTGCCTGGCGGCCCCCACGCAGTACTGCCCGGAGTTCCAAACGTGCCTGCAGCCGTGCCCGCTCCAAGCGTGCCTAGTGTGTCTACCACCTCTGTTACTATGCCAAATGTACCCGCGCCTTTGGTCCAGTCGCAGCAGCTGAGCAGCCATACGCCAGTCAGCAGGAGCAGCAGCATAATCCAGCATGTTGGGCTGCCCTTAGCGCAAGGCACACCCAGTGCACCAACAAGTCTACCACAGTCTGACCTAAGCCAGTTTCAGACTCAGACCCAACCTTTAGTCGGGCATGTTGACGATACTAGAAGAAAATCAGAACCCCTACCTCAACCACCACTTTCTCTCATTGCTGAAAATAAGCCTGTTGTGAAGCCTCCTGTTGCAGATGCCCTGGCAAACCCCCTTCAATTAACACCTATGAACAGTCTCGCCACCTCTGTATTCAGCATAGCTATTCCTGTTGATGGTGATGAAGACAGGTATGGAAATCTTACTTAAAATATTTGATAGGAGTGCTTAGAATGCAACTTAAGAGTTCTTTTTTCACTTTGAGGCCCTTATCGTTTTTAAACTTAGTTTGTGTTTAGTAAGTTTAGTTTGTGTTTAGTAAGATTGATTTGTCAGCTCTTGAAAATGCATTAGTTTAGATTGCTAATATAAAGGTGTAATGAGAGAATTGGTCTTGTCACAATCATTTAAAAGCACTGAATTGGATAAGGACACAACGTTTGTTCATTTAAAAACGGTGGATTTAAGCTTAATTCTCTTGATTTACAGGTGGTAACTAGTAGATTATACCCCACAGGATTGTCCTTTTCTTAGGTAACAATCACACTTGAACCCTTACGGCAGAGAGTTTTGTCAGTGTGAGTTTGGAGACTAAGACATAAAATTTAGAAGTTTCCCATTCTGGAAAACCAGAGGTCCTCTAGTAGGGAAAGATCCATGTAAGGAATCTCCTCCAGTGTATCTGCAAAGGCTGGAGAGAGAATGGTGAAATGTCAAGTCTGGCTTTGAAGATCATATCGTCCTCCAGCCTTTTAAATAAAAGAACATGGAAGGTCAGGAGGCTTCCCAGTGACTTCGTAAAGATCCCTTTTTTTTTTTTTTTTTTTTAAGTAAAAAGTGTATTGGAAAGATGTTATCTTCCATCAGTAGTTTTTTAACTATGGAAAGGGAGGTATGAAGTAAGACTCTGACAGTAGTATAAAAGCTACAGTTCTTGAAATTAGAGTAATTTTATAGTAAAAGTGTTAACAGTTGTCGACAATTGCCTCCCTCTATTTAAGGGATGCTTTTTTAATGGTTTAAGTGAAAATTGGTATATTGCCATTACCAATTCTACAACAGTTGATGTCTGGTTATGGTTCAGTGAGGATTTTTAAGTGGTTTTCAAGAAATGTCACAAAAATTTGACATACTGCAAATTTTTAAAAACCAACTTGTTACAAAGCTTTAAAATTACATTTAAAAATTACAGAGAAAGTTTCAGGTACTTTACAGTTAGGCATTTATTTGGTGGGCTTTTTGTTTTGAGCAAGGTTAATTTTAGATGTGTTAAAAGATAATTTTATGGATTTCTAGAATAATTGGTATGTAGAACCATGAGATCTGTTGAAGCTTTTTTTCTGTTTCTTCTGAGTTCCTTCACATTCTTTTCTTAACTTTTCATTTGTAATTAGCCTTGTATTTTTGTTATATACTTCTGTTGGTTTGAAAAATGCTCACTGAGATCATCTCCTCTGCTTTTTGTAATTCAAAGTTCATCTTTTTTTGTAGGTGACTTGCTTGTTGGGAGTCTTTCTTCCATTTGAGAACTCTTAGAGAATACCACGTGTCCCTAAGTGAGCTCAGCTAGCTAGTCATTGAGAAATTTTATATGGATGGGACTACCAAGTAAAGAAACTGATTCCACAAGCCGTTCAGAAAAATACCTCTTTACATCTCCCTTATTTCACTTTTCACACATAGGGGCACACCTGAAATGCAGATTGATTGTGTATTCATCTTTTGTAAGAGGCAACAGGTATCTTCCCTTTTCTAGCTGCCAGAAGCCAGTTTTTTCTGATGGGTTGGTAAATAACCATTTGCTTGCCTCTCTGTTCCTGTTGTATATTGCCTCCATATTTCAAGAAATGATGAGTGGTTTCCCAAACCACACACGCCTCCTTGTAAAACACATGCACATCTATGAATGAAGAATGTATTTTTCTCTCCTCCTCACAACTCTCTCAGTTTACAAAACAGGCAGTTACATTCCGCAGAACTTAAATACAATGATGTGGCATGGAGCAGAGAGATCTGTTGACAAACGGAAACTCTTGGATGTATTCTTTAGGGTATGACCTCAAAGATAAAATTATTTATCCTCTTTATTGAAAACTTAATAATTTTAAGAATTTATTTCGGAACATGAATGAGCTACAGATACTACTGCATCTGTTCTTATCGATTGGCAATAGTTAATCCAGTGCAGGGCTTTTGATGTGTGTGCAGTCCTACATTAAATATGGTCCTTCCTTCCCCTACCCAGTCTTCTAAAATCTGCATTACTTACCAATGTGTATTTCTAATTTTTGTTTTAGTCTTTCATTGGTTTTTAATTTAACATGCTAGTTTTCAAGATGTAATCTTACACATTTGACTATTTTGTCACTGGACCAACACACCTGGTGAAGGAATAAATCCATTAAGTAGAAATAGTTTTTTGTTTTTGTTTTTAATGGAAAGCCTTTGTGAAAGAGGGCATTTTAAATTGTATGCTTGAAATTAAATAACACAGTTTTTCTAGGCATATGTTTAAATTACTAAGATGACTATTTTTGAGGAAACTGTACCAACAAAAAATCATACCTTTTATATGGTGATTTGGGGTTGCCTTCTTAAATTAAAATCTGCATACAATTTTACTTGCAGTCATTCAAATGCAAAATAAAACATTGGAGTGAGAGGTTTTGAGTAATTATGACTTTAATTTTGTGAATAGGTTGAAAATTTCAGATCCTAAAAATTTGTAAACAGTTTGCTTTTTTTTAAAGTTAGTATGTTAGTAAACATAGTCTAGTTTTTTGAGAAAAGGAAGGAAAATGAAAGTTTTAGTTTGATATATTAAAAACTCTATCTTGTGGTTTTGGCTCCATTACCTTTTACAAAGCTTCGTTTTGAGATTTATTTATTTTAGAAGAAGACATATTAATACATTTTAATAGTATACCTTTAAAAGGGCTGATGGTTATATATAGAAAGCAAGAAAATGTTTTAAAGTTCAGTTAACACTGTTGACTCTGTATTATTAATTGCCATAAAGTTTATATATTCTAGCCTTTCTCATTGGAAAGGCTTATAGTCGTTGATTCTTCAAACTGATTTTGTGTAAACTGGAGATATAATAATGGTTGAAAATATAGTTCATAAAAAGCCACTTTTACACTGAAAGTTACAAAATTTGTTTAAATTACGACACACTTAACAGACTCCTTTTTGGTAAATGGGGAGAGGTGCAAAATATTACTGGCCCTTTTGGAAAGGGAACACAGTACAGATCGTTTTCCACAGATAGCTGACCAATGTGAACTCTGTAGGCCACATTCCAGGAACTCTTATGAATGGCTGCAATTGTGAACTGTCAGCTACAACCAAAAGATTGTTGAAAACCTGATTGTAAGGATCCCTTAGTGGCAAATATCTTTGTATCTTGTTAATGGTTTTATTTGTGTAGTTTGCTAATGACTACTGGTTAAGTATTATAAATTATGAATGTTAAGTGGTGTATCCTGGTATGTGCTATAAATACACAAATTTTGTTTGTACAAATATATATATATCTCAAATATACACACACATACTTGTGCAGGTTTTTTTAACCTGATGGTTTATTGAGAAGATTATGTAAATGTATATTAAGAGATAGAACTCTCACTCTTACCTTTATTATAAAATCTATAGATACTTATTAGAGCTCTAAAAGTCTCACTGCATTTAGTCTTTACAGATGAAAGCGCCTTAGTTGAATCTGTATTTCTTGGGAGCTTATGTTTCTTTATGCATACTGAATTGTGGAGGTAATTTTGCCCTTCCAGCTTTACAGTTGACGTTTAAATCACACACTACATATTATCCTACGTACTCTTACCAAGGATTTTATAATCAAAGTGTGAAATCCTGTGTATGAATGACATTATTATTTAGTATAAAAACTGATAATTGATGGATTCATCAGAGTGCCAGGCTGATGACTAAAATATACTTTAGTCATAAACATGGCTCTAAGTAAAGGAAATTATCGTAGATTTCCAAAAGATGGATGGTCCAAAAGTGTATCAGTAGGGAGTATGGCGCTTTTTTTTTTTTTAACAGTGCCATATTTATTGTTCAAAATTTTGTATGAACTAAATTCTATAGGCTGAACATTGGTAACCTTTAGTAAACATAAGGACTTATATGTGTGTGGGTAAGACACATTCTATGTTAATAACACTATCTTTTCCTTGTAGGGGAAGTAGGGTATCTTGAACTAAATTGCTTTTATGAGAAGTCATTTTTTTATAGCACTGATACTGTGGTGTATATGTTTTCTGCTTCCTGAGAATAAGTGTAATGTTAATCTGTTCTTTGAGAATTCTGATAGCACTAATTTGGAAATAGTAAAATGTGATTGTGGATTTATGGATCTGGTACTTGCTAATTTGGAATAGAGTTTAGTCTTTCTGTGCACCAGAAGAGATTGGAAGTAGTCATGCGCTTTAGTATTCTAGTAACAGAGCACCCTCAACAATCAGATGGTAAAGAAACCAAAATTAGTGTCTTTATTGAGGAATGGTTGTTAGGGGAGTATAAAAAGATGTTGACTTTCTTACGTAAAATAGCAGAAGTTGGGGTGGGGGGAGGTAGAGGGTGATGGCAGATAACCAAGACAGAAAAACATACAGTGAAATGATATGAAATACGGTTTCAGAAGGTTTAGGAATACTTGTTATTAGTGAAGAAAAGACATCTAATTCCTTTTTTAAATAATTGTTTTAGACCAATATGTATTTCCTTTTTGAACAGATACTGTTTATTTCTTAATTGCATTGCTCTTTAAATATTCTTTAAGTATGAGGAATAGAGGGTTTATAAAAACAGATTTGTCTGGTTAAATGTAGCCTGAATGATGATGTTCCCTAAGTAATTTCTTATTAATGGGAAGAACAGATTTCTAATTTAAAAAACCTTAATAGTTAACAGTATTTAAGGGGTATGTGTAGCAAAATTCCTGAATTGGAATAAATCTCTTAACTTAGTTCTTTATACTAAACCAAGTGGACTTGTGATTTGAGGCTGCTCTTTTATATGATATAATAAAATTACTGTATCCACAAAGAATGTACATACCTGAATCATTGATATAATTTGGGTCTTTCCACAGCAATTCTTGAACATACCAAATTACTCAGTGTTTGTGACATTCTTAATCTGGCATGGCTTAGGGCAAAAACCC